CCGGTCGGATGGGAATCGAACTATCAACACAAAACAAAGGGGGTGGCAAGAGCCGCCCGGTCTGAAAGGGCGACACACTGGTGCACGCGCCCTGTCATGTTTTTAAAAGAAAAGTAGGGCACACAAAAGTGATCCCCCTTTGAAACACTGTGGCCGAGCAGGGGATGCTTACCCTTCTGAGTGCAGTTCATGTCCGAAGAAAAAAAACTGGCCCAAGTCCTCCGATATTGTGTCCGGGATTAAAATGGGGTGTTATAATTAAAAGCTACAGCGTCCGCTTCTAATCTCGCAAATAATTTGTCTGACTAATAATGCATTTTGGATTATAGGCAGGGAGTTTTCACCATTTTATTGCTACTTGATTTCGCATCCGAAAGAGTTCGCGATCAAGTTTTGATTATGGTTTGGGTGATTTTCTTATTTACCAGGTGGTTAGTTTAATTGGTTGTTCGAATTAAAAAATAAAATTTAAAGCTGTGCTGATCTTTATGTTGGATACTTCGAATTACATTCTGAGAGGTTTCCAAACTGTGGGCAGTCTAGAGGACATATACGGATACCGAACAAGCGCACTTGAGAATTGGCTTTGAAATCACCGGAGCCTGAAAAAAAATCCAAAATGTGGAGATTTGTTGACTTTAAAGTTTTAAAAGTAGTTGATCTTACTAGATAACGTATTTATGTAGCTTTAGTAGGCTAATTAACGTAACTTTACTAGAGAAGAAAGAGAGTGATGATTAGAACAACAAAGCATTTAATAATAATATCAATATAATAATCAAGATATTATTTGAAAGAAAGTAAATATCACACGTAACTATTGCAAAGAAAAATCTGGTTTCGACTTGAAAAAAAACTTCCAATGGAAAAATAGATAGTACGAATACGCATCAATGAGTGGATTTTAATGTTAAATTCATCTATCATGGGAATAAAATTGAGTCTTTAATAATAATGTCTTGGTGCAAGTGAGTAACTTATTATAGTCAAAAAGAAAACTCGATTAATGTACATAAACTAGTCGTTTTCTTTCAGAAATTATTTGAAAATTTGAATGGAAACATCGAAGTCTGACTCAATAAGTTAAAATCGGGCAAAATGACATTCCAAATAAAGTCAATGCAAAACCAATAGAAGAAGAAGTATCCTAAACGATTACGAAAAAAATAATACAGAGGATGATTCAAAATTCGCACAACTTCTCGAAACAAAATATACAAAAGTAAAACTTTGCTTATTTATTTAGTATATTAGTACTAAGAAATTTCTAGAAATAAAAAGAAGAAAGAAATATTGATCCTGTCTCAATGTTTGAATGGAAGATTAAAAACAGCTAAAGATTAGAATGGAAAAATTAGTAAATTTTGCTTAAAAATCAATTTTTGGACATTTAATGGAAAATAATGGTAACAATATTTTTTTTATAGTTTTTTTGCCTTAAGTTTTGCCAGTTTATCTACAGGACTATTGCATGTCTGTCATTTTTCTGTTCTCAAAAAATGTCTGCTATTTGTCCAGAGTAATTACGCCAATTTTGTACCAGTGTATACTGAAAAGTAATCAGTATATTAAAAGCAGAAACACAGAACTAGACCAAAACCTAAATAATTCATGAACGAGAGAACACTTTTCAGACTTTGTGGAAAATGTTTGATAACATGCTCTTGACCTGAAATATTCTATTGCACCTAAAATTGAATTTTTATCATAGTTGATAGATTGGTGTTGTATGCAAAAAACATGGAATTAATATGAGAGATTCGTCTGGAAATCATACACAAAGTAATATACTTAAGTACTTCAAACCATTTAGTCGGGTAGTTAAAACTCAAACTACGAATGCCTAATTTGTAATTTTCCCTATCACTTTTACTCATTTTTATGTTTTTTTTTGGTATTTTGTACATCATGCACTTTTATAGAATATTACGCAGTAAACAAAACTGCATCTTTTAACTACAGTAGTGAGTTAACTTTTAAGCATGATTAATATTTCCAAAATGCGTTGAACGGTGATTTACATCAATTTTATACCAATTAATGTCAACACTCACATATAAACCCATTAATATACATTAAACCGATTAATTATTGTCACTTTCTTCGATTGAGTTATAAAATAACTATCATATATTTTTCAATGACATTGTAACCCGTCATATATTAGCATAATCAAACCATAAATCTGATAACTACATGCCGCAAGCCATCTGTGTATTTATATAAATTTACAACAGAATTATAACATCTTCGGCGTTCGACAATTAAAATATCTCGTTTCGGACTGGTTTTATCTCATTGATGATTATCGTTATTCGAATTAGTGGTTCATCATTAAACATGTCATTATTTTTATAATTTTTATTATTTAATTTTATGATACAGGATACCTATATGGCCTCAAATCGATTGGGTGTTTACCTTAATAAAAATGCAATATAAATACCACATGATTTCGTCTGTTTGTCATATCAGTGTAAAGTAAAGACACACAAAACTATTTTACAATATTAACATGGCAAGGTTTAGATAACTGCTGATTATTTTTTTTACAAACATTATTTCTATTATTCAGGGTTGAAACTTTCAAACAAAACACAGTAAAATTCATATGTTCAATGCTCGATCGCTCTTTCCAAAAATCGATCTGATGTATGGTAAATGACATTATTACCTTGAAGAAACCAAGCTGTTAATGTATCTATTAACTATGTTTGAATAGTTCGGCAAAACTTCTTTATAGTAATGAAAATAAATGTTACTAAAAGGTTCTCCTTTATAGCAATAAATGGATAATCCGAACCGATAGTTGAGAGTTCCGTTCGGTCTTATCACACACTTTATTGCTTCCTAATTGTTTGATTGAACAAAATTGTCAACAAGAACAAAGAATCATCTCATTCGTTTTTTCCGGTAAACGTCGACATTAATTTAATGGGATGACCGCTCCTTTGCTGAACATTTTCGCAATAGGTTCGTCTTCGACATGTGATATTAGCAATGATCTCGTCATCTTCTAGGGTTTCTATATTATTATGAAAAATTTCGTCTTTTTATCAGGATTTCCTGCTCATAAATTACTCAAAAGTCTTAAATCTTCTTCATCCATGACCTAGTGAAATGAAAAATGAATGAACTTTTTAGGTGCTGTTTCCAAGTTTCGGCTAACGCAAGCATCGCATGTTTCAGTGACGCGATCTTCATACATTTTCCAATGTGTACAACTTCGTGAAAAAACTTCTAGCACACATTGTAAATATGACTTTCTGGTCAATCGGATGGTAGAACCATTACTTGTATATGTATTACCATCAGGGGAACAAACATGCACGATTGTTCAAGGGTTAATGTGACATGCTTTCATTCAGAAGCCATATGTTAAATTCAAAATATGCATACAAATTTAAGATCGCCTTTTTCTTCTTCTTATTGTGCCTTTTCTTTCCGAAGATTGGTGATCCAAATGGTTATTGTAGTCTTGAAAACTGCAGCACAAAATATTTCTGTGGATGAACGGCCAAACCACCTCTTTTTACCCTGTCCACCATTCGCACCCGCAGCGTTACACTGGGAAAACGTACCATCCGACCATCTGAATTCTGAGCCTTATGCTAAGTTCTGATGTTGCAAAAAATGATTTTCATCTTTCTTTCTCTTCTTTGCGCTTGTTCAATTTTTGGCAGTATTTCCTTTTTCGAGATAGACTGACCCCAGTTGTTCTCAGGATTTCAATCATCTTTTGATGGTTAACGCAATCGAATGCCTTTCGGTAGTCCATGAAACATGTTTATACTTCCACGTTCATGTGTCTGCATCACAGTATATTTAGGGGGAAAAGTGCTGCACGCGTTATAAGTCCGTTTTGGGAATCCGGATTGTGGTATTCGCACTTCTTGTATGTTCTAAGGAGAGTTTTAGGAACATTTTTTTTGTTGGTTTGATTTTGTCAAGATCGCTAGATTGTCCACTTTTGGGTGGTTATTGCGTGTATAACTTTTTTGGTTATTTCTGGACCTTCTTCATCGACATTTTTCATGGTCGATGTCATTGTCTGTAGGTGGTGGAGCAGAAGGTCTATCAGCGTTCAAATTGTTTAGATGTACATATTATTTCCATCTCGCAAGTTTGTCTTCTGTACGTAGTATTATTTGTCGCTTTTCGTCCCTGGCTGTCATTTCTATTACTCTCTTGTCGACATTGAAAGTGTCATATATATCCTGAAATTGTTCAATTCTTTTGCATTGAGTTTCAATTTTATTTCGCTTCTCTGCACTTTTTCCTGATGATTTGAATATGATGTTTGCATTCTGTTGGGTTTGTTCTGCATTTTCGTCTACCTTCGATAAGTAACACAATTTCTTGTGTTGTCCATTCTTGTTGGCAGTTGTTTTTACTTACATATCCGATGTCTTTGCTTGGATCTTTGTAATTTTAGTTTTTAAGGTCTTCCATGTCACTTGGTTGTATTATCGTTTCTAATCCTATATCGATCTTAAGACTTATTCCTTTTTTCCTGTTATACGTTCTTGTTCGGCCGAAATCTTTTGAGCCTGCTTTGGTTGCTATAGATGACTATCCGCTCCAGGGTAAGTTTTTACGGAAATTCTTAAAGTTTAGGTGATTCCGGGATGTTGCCTAAATAATGTATGTCCCGAATAAAGAAGAGCAAATTGAAAAAAATCAGGGGTGTTTCCATTATGGATATCAGTTTATACAATTGTGGCGATTAGGTTGCAGAGTAGTTCATTATTTCCAAGCTAGAAGCTGAGTTGCTTCATTGGTCCAACATGCTTCAATTAGAAGCTATGCACTGAAATTGTCCATCCTTTTAGGTCACTTCTCTAAAGCTCTACATGAATTCCCAACGATATTCGTAGCGCATTAAAAATTGTTTCTTTTTGTCAACGTTTTGGGTGTTGGGAATCGAAAGTATTTTCCTGTACCCCATGAATTGTCCTTAACTGATGTTACTGTTTGATTAATGAATGTATCTTTTTCAGTGGAGTAGCAGTCTTGAGCTGCACAGACTGTAGTGGTAGCAGCACTGCCTCCAGCGACATAACCGACCCTGGATCTCCATTCAGCACTGCCTCCAACCATTCTGAGGATTCCGGGTCCTCCCAACAGGCCACTAGAATGCCGCCAGCCCAGTCTGCACACCATCCGCCTTGGCCCTGGACAGCCGAAGAGGGATCGTCGGTGAAGAGGTCGCTGGACGACAAGCCGATGTTCACGAAGCGTCAGAAAGTTAACGACGAATCTGCCAAAAAGCAATCACCGACATGCCTAAACCCGTCTGTTAATAAGAAGGCGCCGAAATCGATTATCGCTGTAGATTCTAGTCCGACCAATAATAATAATAATGACATTAATTATACGATTCATCAGAAATTGGAAGTTGTACCGAAAATGCAACAAGGGAAAATAACCGAGTATTTTAAAACCCAAGTGAAAGCAAACGCGATCCGGAAGGAACTACTGAAAATTAAGGCGGTTGGTGCTAACAGGATTGCGGTTATTAATCAGATTAGCAATACGGCGAAAAATGGATGGCGAGCAAATGCAGCAGCGAAGAAAATGGAGTTTGCAAAATCTCGAAAGTTAAGCACAGCGACGGTTCCGCGAAAAATTCTTCCGGCTCCAAGTAAACTTCACGATCAGCTTCCTACAAGCAGTGCGATGCATCCCGGCATGCATCAGTTCACTCCCACAGTGACGCTGACTGCGCTCAGTTTTCCGCCAAACTTAACGTATCTGCACACTAAAGCTCCGAAACCACCTGATAGTATTTTCGTACCTCAGTTTGCAACCATTAGCAACGACAAAGTCAGCACCATACCCGTCATCAACCGGAATCCATGCTTGAACGTTATTCAACCAGTACAAAAAATTGCAACTTTGAATAATTTTAACTGCGTTAAACTGAACGCCACGGTAGTGCCTATCGTCAACTTAAATGCCTTACCTTCGAGGTTAAACGGAACTACGAATATCGCGAATGTTACTCTAAGTGTTGATACGGCAGTACCCACAGTACTACCGGCTAGGCCCAAAGTGCCAGAAGGTAGTAGTTGCTTTTCGACTGCTACCCCTACGTTAGGAAAATACAGCCACTCAAATCCCGATATTTCGTCGATGATTGTAAGTAGTGGGAAGCACTGTCGTACTGAATCCACTAGGACCGAGGAACCCTATCGAACAGAAGAATGCCAGACGCATCAAGAGCATCAACCGCAAGAGCCGCCTGATGATAAATGTTGGAGTGATGGTAAATACATTTAGCATCTAAGACCTCTAACTGATTGATTAAGCACTTTTTATGTGTTTCACTTCTCTCTAACTATTCTTCTACATAACACAAAAACCTAGTTATATGGCTTTATGCATGCATGATGATGGCACATTCTGCACGAAGAAGAAATTCTGCAATTTGCAATAAAACTTGTTTCTTTGACAAAGTGGTCTTCAACTAATGTGATAAAATTCACTGACAATGTCTACTCAAAAACAGCGTGTTTTGACAAATTTGTTTTATCCGAAAGTTAATAGTTTTTCGTTATTAATACGTTTTCCATATTTTTTAATAGATTATTAACCAGTTTTACTGTTGTTTTGGGATTTTTTAGCAATCAAAATTTCCTATTACTTACTTTGTAGTTCCTAAAAGGAGGTAGCTGCAATAGTCTGGCGCCATTTAAAACATCAGATTTTTTGTTTTAATATAGGGTGTTATTGGACAGTCAATAAGGGCAAGCAGTAATAAAGTTAGTGGTATTTTGCCGCATACGCCGGCGCAAATGAGTCTAAAAATAAGGGATCTCTTAATAACGATAGTGTTCGACGCTAATTGTGCAGAGATACTGTTAGGTTTATTTCTACTTTAAACTGGCAGTTGATATTTCTAGTAGGCAGTTCCGCTTGCAGGCTATTTCACTGTATACATAACCCAGTTTCTTTGCAACACTTTTTTAATCAGAGAACATTTTTCCATATAGAGTTTTTTCAGAATGCCAAAATAAAAATACCAGAGTAAGGTTCACTTCTGAGAGTGACGTTATCCTATTAAAGGAATTTTTAAGCATAAATACCACTGTGAACCCCCAGGGATGGAAAATAATCGGAAAAGATGTTGCAATTATAAGTATAATTTTTTGAAAATAAAAACGTTGAAGCAACTTGTTTTGCTGTTAATTGAAACTTGTCAGAAAAAGTGAAAGTAGATAAAGTTAGGTCTTTAGGACTAAATACTGAAAGCAATAAATTACACATTCCATTAACTAATTTCGTTAAAAAAATAAAGATAATGCAGTATTAAAATGAGGATTGACCTTATTATTGCATGATAGTATTTATAACTTCCAATAACTCTCTAATATCGCTTTTCTGTTGGCGATGTGTCAATTTTACATTGAAATATCTACTGATTTGTTTATTCTCAAAACGCAGTTTGGATGTATCGCTCTAAAAAACCATCACACACGTTTGTTTTTAGTCATAGCAGAACTGGTTAAGAATCTATTAAAAGTAAACGAAAATTGTATTTTCAAATTGACCCTCTCTACCTCGGAATCTACTAACTTTCGCATAAGTCAAATATGCTTGAATATATAGTTTTTCATGTATTTTGAAAACCTGTGAGGAAGTAGATATCAATTAGTTGTTTGAATGAATTCTCTGAACTTCCCTTTTTGGAAATTAGAAGCAAAAACGAGGTTTTACGTGGCAATTTTGATCTAAATTATATAGCCAACGAAATTAACCAAACACAGTCATCTGAAGAGCACTTGCGGAGTACGATCACAAACTAAAACTTTATTTACAACTTTACTTTACTTGTACAGTATACAGATGAAACTCGACGAAATTCTATCTACATTTGTAAACATTTTGATTTAAATAAAATTTAGATACATGGCAAATTCTCAAATTGTTGATCCTGCAAATGTTTTAATTCTGATTTGAAAGTTTGTATTTTGAGTGACTTCAAATGGAAATTACATTATTGCTCTACTCACTAGATTGTGTAGTTTAAAAAAAATCGCGCAAACAACAATTTTTGGCGCTATAAAAATCAACTTTTCCGACTGATCCCAAAAAGTTTTTAAATTTTCATTAAACATTTTCACCACAAAAATACAGCCCTAAAGTAGTTTTTTGAAAAACTACTGAAACTTGTGAAAAATTTTGAATAGATTATGAACCTTGAATAGAATACAAAAACCGCTCGGAAAAATCCATCACCACAAAAAATGTAAGCAGAATCGTGTTCGCATAAATGATGAGATTGGTTCTTAAAGAATTTTAGATTTTTGTCTATTTTATCTTATCGCTTTGCTCAGTTTATTTCTGACTGGATCGAATAATAAAACTTGGTACATAAACTATACTCATTCGAGACAGGAAGAAGACAATTTATTTCCCATACATTAGCCACATTTATCGTATTAAAATGATACAAGGTACCTCCGAACCATGTTCGAATATTATATTTGTATATCGTGATGAAATGCAATCTGTTAAGCTGATTTTTGGATAAAATAAAATACTATTCATATTTGCTACGTTCTGCGTCATTGAAACGTATTTTTACTTTTTAGATGGAACCTGATAACTTGATAATGTAATTACACAGATCCCTTTTTAGAAACGCTTCAAAATATGCCGCTTCTTGTTTGATCTAATTAAAACACTTTAAATGGTTGAGGTTGTAGGAAAAACTGAGAAACATGTCTTCCTACACAGAAAGGAACTTTGTACTTTGATTGATTAATTTTTGATACCAATACATTTTCTCTGTATTATCTGATGTTTTTTCTTTTTGTATATTTCGATAAAGTTGCCGATTATGATCCAAAATATGTTTTGGTTCAATTTAATTGTAATTACGCGGTTAAGCAAATAACATTTGCAAAAAAGTTTAATTTGATAATGTCAGCTGATTACCGCTAATTACTGTAGAACTGAAGTTCACGCCACGTGACAGTCTAAAAATATTGCAAAGACCTTTCTATATCTCTTCTAAACTTATTTACTGCCTGCCATCACCAGGTAAAACGATTATTGTTTTTATCAGTTGAAATGTTCCCGTTTCTTTGTTTTATTAGTCATTTTCACTATGGCAAAGGACGTTTCATTTTTCCATATGCAGCAATAAGATTTGTATAGATTTCTTTAGTAGTCAGCAATGGGTTTAAGCCACTTAAAAAGTTCTACAGCAAATTTACAATACAAATGCATCGTTATTTACTCACGTTTGGTTCATTAATCAGTCAATTGGCAATAATTCGTTGAAAGTAAAAAATTCTATTTGCTTATCCTATCTAGCTTGAGGTCACAAAACATGCGATATTAATTAAACCGGAAGGAAAGCCAGTAATTCACTAATTAATATTGATGTGTAATTAAGCTAAAAGGTGAATTGATGTTAAATATTCGCGATTATTCAGACGGAGAATTAAAATCAGATCATATTCGATAATATATATTTGCCTAATATATCCAAGTATTTACTTGATTATTCATTCTGTTTACTGACAGATTACTTTATGTCAATATAGATTAGCACTTCAAATAAATTCTGTTCGGTATAGATACTGCAATAAAACCTTACCAACCTCAACCGCCCCCTCTTTTCTACTAAACAGTGCACCCTTAATAGCATCAGGTAGTTTCTAAATGTAATTTCTGAACGAAAGGAAATAGTACTTCTTTAGAATTTGCAGCGACAATAACTTGGGTGTACAACTAGTCGGTGGGCATTTTAAGTAAGAAATTGGAACCACACAGCTTTAAAAGTATTTGAGCAAAACAAAGCCAATTTGCTGTAATGTTAAATGTTAAAGGTAAATTACGATTGTGTTTCTGAATTGTTTTAATTTAACTTTATCGTGGCTTGATAGAGTGAAAGTACAGAAGCTAAGCTGAATTAATGTAAAATAAATCTCCTAACTGATATGGAACCGGTAGATTTCCGGATTAAGTTGCAAGTGTTGTCCGGTTCTTCAAAACGCATTTTTTCTGCATTTGCATGATTCATGTTCGCTTCTCATTAGACTTACATTTCTGGTGTTCATCGCAAAAGTGATTAATTGCTATTATTGTCATAAAAATGAGATTTTTGCACTCGATATAATGTGTGATGCAAGTCACTTAACAAATTCTCCGTTCTTGCTGATATTTTTTGGCATAAGTACACTTAAGCACTCGAACAACTTGGTTTTTATTCGGCTGATTTTTATTAAAGGATCCCAAATTCGAATATCTAACCAAAAGCCTCCATCACCAACTGATTCCGATAGTGGCATCTCTAGCCTTGGAAGTTTGGAAATCAATGTAGACGAGCAGATAATTGAAGAGCCGAAAAAGTCTCCAATTTTATCTCAACCAAAGACAATCAGGTAATTAAATTCATGTTTTTATAGTAAATAGTCGTAGTTTAGCATTTTAAAACTTGAATGTTTACATTGTAGATTAAGTGTAAATTCTAATATAATTTTAAATGGTGGATTAGTTAATTTTAGTTGGCAATTTTGTTTTGTTTTTTGCCCCTGTTGTATGTTCCATAAAAAAAGACACTTTTACAGCTTTTTATCAAACAATGTACGCATCTTTGGAATGACCTGAATTTATTAAATGCGAAATGTTTAATCCCTTTTTGATATGTTTGCAAAATAACTATATTTACAAAGTGCTAAAAAGGAAGTCATTTGACAAAAATGAAAATCATCCTTCCCCTCATTTCTTTTAAAACAATGCGACATAATTTCATGTTTTGATTAGAGTTTTTAATAAATAATCCTTTACTTTTTCTTCACGCTTAATAAAACATTTCATACTTTTTTAATTGATCTGGTCCGTGTGTTCGAAGTTAACAATACGCTCACTTTAGGTTTGATAATCCTTGAAATAACTACTTTTGCTAGTTATGATTCTGGGAAAATGCTGTTTTCAACCCTATTTGACCACTTTCGGGTCATTGAAGTTTGGTATACTTTTTCGATAAAAAATACAGATAGCACCATCTTAGTTTGTACTCCCACCATGTGTATTTTTGGGTGAAATAGCTGCTTAACATTAGTGAACAAAAAAAAGAGTCACTATAAACCAAAACTAACTCACACTCACACAAAATGTGTCTAGAAAAATAAACAAAATATGCAAATTGTTGAAGTTAAAACCGTACACACAGGGCGTCTTGTGTTATCTTATGGAAAAGTACTGAATTTCAATGTGTGAAAAGTGGTTGAAAACTGCATTTCTCCAAGAAATACTACTAAGAAACTGAGCTTATCGGTAGCTTCGAAGACGAGGAACGGATTAACTAGAAAGTAAGCAAAAAGGATGTAAATTTTATTTTTACAGGCTTAAAAAACTTTTTTTAAGATTTGTTGTTTTTTTTGGAATACATTGTACTTATTTGATGCAATCGTCTTCCCATCGAAATTGAATATATTGGCAATAGTGGCTTTATTTACTTATCTTATTATCTTGTCAACTCTATATATTTGGTTTTCAAGTAAATGAAAAATTTTGAGCGCAATTTATATCCCTAAATTGATGATCCAAATTTGGCACTCAATATAAGAGCCGGACTAGAAGCTGCTAAAGTGAGTGTCCAAAGTTCAAAATATAAATAATACGAGAAAATCTACAAATAAACAACAAATAATATTTTTCCAAGTCCACTAATGCGATGGTCAAAATTCCATGAATTGTATTTGGCAGTAGAGCTGTATGAATTTACGGATTAAACATAGTTGCAAATATTCTCGCTTTATTATTTGAGTAGTTTATGTGATTATTATAGTATATAATATACATATTGTACAAATGAATCGTAATGTCGGGAATGTAATTGCCAAGTTTCTAAGGTATGGTGCAGTCTCAAATTATTATTTTTTGTCCGTTTATCATTATTTCTGTTATTATTACATTAATAAATAGTTGGCGTGATTTTCTCGTCTTTGTATTGGACGTGTAAGTGCAAATGTGCAAATATCTAATAGCATTTGAAAGTATAATAATTTGATGCAATTCAGGTTTCCTGCGGCTCAGCATAAAAAGGACAAAAATGACGGAAGAGAACTGGGAAAGAGCACAACACAATCCATTGCCGGCCGATGTCGATGGGATGAATGTGCGGCACAATTTGATACCAGTGGGGCCTTATTAGAACATCTGCAGGTACACTAGCAAATTATTTCATATTCAACATATCAAACAGTTTTAAAGAACTTTCAATGCAATTTTTTCCTCGAATTTGACCCACTGTGGAATCCGGCAGTAAGATCGAAGCAATAAATTAATTAACTAACCATTAATGTTACTACCAAAACGTGAAAATAATGGCCAGAGAAATTCCGTAGAAATGCAGAAAGCCCTTAACGCTGACTATTGAAACAAGCACATTGGAAATTGTTAAGAACTTTAAATATCTTTACTATACAGAATCGTCAAGCCTTTAAGAAAATCATAAAATATAAGATTCCGATGTAGACGAAGTGTTTTCAGTGCTACTTCCACATTGACTTCGTGGCCTGTACATGCTAAGAAATTACATTTTTACAGGTTAAACATGTGATATCTCAATCTCAAGCCAACCAGGAACAATATGTATGCCTTTGGAGAGGCTGCAAAGTGCACGGAAGGAGATCGTGCTCAATATCATGGCTCGAGAGGCACGTGTTGGCACATGCCGGGACCAAACCGTTTAGATGCATTGTGGATGGCTGTGGTCAAAGGTTTAATTCGCAGGTACGTGCCCAATACCACCTCAGTCACCACAAGCGAACCAATGGGTTATTCTTCCAAGATTGTTTTACTTTGTTTCCAGAATAAAAAAAATAATGCTGACCTAAATCGAATAAAACCGACTAGCCATATTACATTAATCTATATCATTCTAGATATATTTAACATTCTCATCAATCTGTTTCAGCTGATGTTGGAAAGGCACGTGAACAATCACTTCAACAGCGATGGAACACAAAGCAGCAGCGCGAAGAAATCACTAGAAAACGGACCTGTAAAGCTATTCAAGAGGAACGGTCGGATTATTAGGTTTAGGAGGCAGCCTTGGTCAGGTAAAATTTCTTTTTATCTTTGTCTGTGTCTTTAACCTTTCTTCCAGTATGGCCTCCGGGTTGGATTTTAAATTTACCACCGTGAATAGTGAAACCCAAGAAGATATCAGAGCTTTTCATAAAGATAATTAGAACTTGATACAAGCCTTAGTTATTTGTTCGTCCTCATTAGCTTTGGAAATGTAACCGATAATTGTTTCAAATTGTTATATTTCATTTAATGACGATTAAAATAACGTTATTAAAATAACGAGTTATCCCGCTTGCAAAGTACCTACCATCATAAGATATAATACATTTTCATTTACACACGCATTTTCAACACATTGTCAATGCTTTAATGTAGAGATTTTTCAAATAAAACTTGATTTTAAGAAAAAAAAGGTTTACATTTTTATATTTATTTTTTTAAAACGATGTTTCTCAGAGTTGGATTAATTTGCAAAATGTTAACAATCAAACGGAACGACAAATTTATTATTCATCTTCAGGCGAGTACTTTAGAAATGGCTTAACTAACCTAAACCTAACGAAACATTTTGCAAGACCAGACCAGTTACCAGACTGTTTGTATTTCGAAACAGAGTGAACAATAAAAAATATGTTCTTTTTGCAAAAGTGTTTTTTGTTTCAAAATCCAGTCATTATTGTCAAGCAGATTAATATATAAAACTGAAACTGCATTAATCATATTTATAAATAGTGTTTGCACATATAAAAACTGTTATTAAGTTTTTAAGCAAACTCTATTGGTTGTGCCAAATCTATTTAATACTCGTTTAGTCAAGTCTAGAATGATATAGTCTACTTGCCCGTTAGAGCAATAAATTTCCACGCTCTATCAATTGTCTTTGCAATTGAATAAAGATGATAATGCCAGGTTTTTGTGCTTCGGCCTATAAATAATCATCTAGAAGAGTACACATTCTGGTAAGGCAATGTACAATTGCAGCTCATTGGCCAAAACAAAATTCAAAATTAGACAGTTTCAACAGTATAAAGATTTCTTTGTTGATATTAGTAATAATATTTTAAAGCAAACTTGCTATTTATCGAATTTCCTAGAAACTGAAATCATATGCGAAATATATACATACAAAATTGAGAACGTCAACTACTTTACTTCTTTACTATTTTCACGTCATTTAAAACTTAGGAAAGCAACATTAGGTTGCGAAAAGTGCAAGAACAAGTACAGTGATAATATCAAGATCAAGGTCATTTTTTTTCAATTAAAAAGTGGTCACATTAATTCAGAAACCTAAATCTATAAGAAATATCGGTATCATTAAGCCAAGCAAAATCGTGTTGAGTAATAATTTATGACAAGCTTTGATATGTTTATTGTAGCTAGTAAAGCTAATATTAACGAACATTACCACAACAGCATCATGGGAAGTGTTTTACTAAGAATTATCATTGATGACAAAAACAGTGAAAGACATATAGTTCGGGAACAGCAAGCAGAGAACGACAGAACAATCGAGCAATTCATGTTTTCTATCACCTTTTCAATTTATCCGTAACATCATAGCTCATTTTCTTAAACAAATTTTAAAGAAATATTGAAAATGTTTTGCATTTTAGAGTTTGTTTAATGTGACCAATGAATTCATGAAGGTTTTAGAAATACATAACATGTCGAGAAGAAATTGTGCTTCTTCTAAAGTATATACTATAGAAAGCATTTGCCTTTAGTAACCAACACCACCAAGCACAAAATATGTCAGGGTTCTCAATATTAATTGGGTTGTTCTTCAAAAAAAAAAAACTTAGCCCCAAAATTAGCGAATATTTTAACGGTTTTAGTTAGCAACTAATTTTTTTGCACTGTCAGCTTAAATTGCTAGGATCTGGGTAAACTTTAGTCATCATACAGATTGCTGTAAGTAACATAACGTTCGGTCCAGTGATTTAAGGAAATTAAGTTTGCTAACTTTTGCTACATTGTTCGCTAATGTTGACGTTGAGTGTATATTTAGTTGTTTTTTCTGCTTGATGGCCACGGACTTAGTATTTTCCGCTATCGCTTAAAATACAGTAGTAAAACGTTATTAGCAATGAAAAAGATGCTGACAAAACGTGGATGTTCAATTAATGTTCAGTTAATCAGTGGGTTGTTAGTTGAGAGAAATATAAATGATCGCCGGACATTTTCTTTATCCCATCCCATTTAAAGTGGTTTTTCCATTCAGATTCATTTAGAATCGTAGTGACTGGGAAGTCTTCAGCATCCCCAATGACCAGAGTATGATCTGAGTGAAAATTAAACAGAGACCTGAATCCATTGTCAGTCGAAACATTCTCCCAATGGATTTATCCAAACGAAGTTTGGTTCTAGGTTATAAAAGTAATTGCAGATTTTGAGTCTTAGCGGCTGATAATTGCAGTCC